AAAATGGCCTCTATTACTATCGACGATGGTATCAGATCGCAGCTTAGAGCTTAGAAAGGTAACCAGTGGGATCAGCCTAACCAACAATGGTGAGAGTCGTTAGAAGAGGGAGAAACGAAGACGAAGATTAATGTGTTGCCATATTTTTAGGCCATTTTTAATCTAAAACATGGAATTTTCGTTGCATTTACCTTTACGAAGCATATTTTTCAGATCGATGATGCTAATTTCTTCCAACATTTATGGGTGATTTCCATAGAATTACAAATTTCTCTTTTTCTACCAATCCTACTAAGATTTCGACGAAGATATGGAATCGAAGTTTACTTATCAGTAATCGTTTGCTCACTATGGTTATATATTATTTACGAGGATCCATTTTCTACAAAATTTCCCATATGTCGTTTATGGCAATTTGTTTTTGGAGTTCTCATATATGATATGGAAGATAAAGCAAAAAATAATAGTAATAATAATAATATATCCGTTGATATTATTGCAAAAATCGAGAAATCATTATTAGGTTCTTTGAAATTTTTTAAGTTACTTTTTGCATGTTGTTTCTTGCTTGGCATTTTTGACTCATATTCCAATGGAAAACAGTTTAATTTCCAAATAGTCTTAAGGTTTGTTTTTCCAACTTGGTTGATAAGAAATTACCAAAGGAATTTTAATAGGATTTTTTTCTTCAGTTAAAGAGAAATTCTTATTAAATGGCTTTTTGACAACATTCAGTCTTTTTGCTGTGTGTTTTTGTTTTTTGCTATCAAGCAATCCATTCCAACCGAAGATTTGCTCAGTAATCATCTCTTTGGCAGTATCTTGGATTATCGTTGTGCATTGGCATTGGTACCCTCTTCGATTATATGACCACAAACCACTTATATTCATAGGAAACATGTTTTACTCGATGTATTTAAATCATTGGCCCTGTATTCTATTAATAACGTATATACAAAAACCGAAGATCTCATATTTCCACGGTTTGAGTTTTCAAAATTTTGCTGCCTGTTTTGTTTAATTTTTTTATTCAGGATTTTTTAAAAAAACGCAGCGCTGTATTGTTAAAGAGGTCATAAGGATTTTTGAAGATTTGTATTGAAAATTACCAGACCTTAAGTAGCTCGTCAATAAATATTATTATTCTGGGCCATGGCCAAACTAAATTGAAAAACCTTGATAAAACAACAAACTAAATTGAAAAGCCTTGATAAAACAATGCTGGAGGAAGAAGTTACAACTGAGTCTGGAAAAGCAATAGAGAGGGGACATTAAAATGATGACAATTATGGTAAAAAGAACTCAAAAACCACACTGGGCCGAAGTTCTGGAGCAAGTATGGTTGTTTTTTTTAAAGAGTATTAGTAGATTTTGGTGAATCGAAGGGGTAACCTATGTTGTTTAAGCAGAATTGGGAATAATTTCAAAAAATATCTAAAAAATAAACTTTAGCTTATCGTTCAGATCACTGCCTCGTATGCTAAGACTCGAGGAGCGAATTGATTATTCAAAAGTCCTGTAAGATTATAAGTCCTCCATATTGTTATTATCTGGCAAAAGTTTGTAACTTTTCTTACAACGAGTAGAGCGAAACAAGTTAGAAATGAACGCTAACCACTGAATTATTTTCCTGACGACATTCCATAACAACGCAATAATGAATTTCAATAATCCGTATTTTTTTGAAGGAATAGTCGATGTATTCCTTTTCACATTTTCGGTATCATTGTTCAGTCATTATTGTATCAAGAAATCGCGAAAATTTTCGTTAATAGGGATTTCTCTTTTCGTCGCTATTTGTGTATATGCTGAAAACGTGAAAATTTCCGTTGTTTCAAAGGCAAATGACACATGTAAAAAATTATGTAAAAAATTATGTAAAAATTATGTAAAAAATTTTCGAATACTTTTATAAATTCACAGAATCTTTTCATCATCTTTTTCAACAAACCTTTCACTTCCATTTGTTTTTCTCATCAATTATTGTATTATATCATTCATTTTCTTTATCAAACATTTGCTGCCAATCCGCCACTTTTTTATCATTTATCATAAAATACCTTCGTTGAAAATATTGATGATGGATCATGGATCATAACAGCATAAAAATTTTAAGACTTTTTCACTTCGATTATCTTCATCTTTGCAGATAATGCAAATATTTCAGCATCGCAGTTCGATAAAGAAGTGGACGTAATAGTTTCGCCGCCACCAAATACTACAGTGTTGATGCTGTTTGATCGAAAGGAAGCTACAAAAATTTATTTGAAGAATCGCTTAATGATTAGAGAAGCATATCCCGCAGATCCCGTTAATTTTTACATCTATAACGATACAATATATAATGGATTAGCTGAAAAACGGGGCTATTCGAAAGATTTAGTGTATGTCAATGTAAGCATAATTTCTAAATAATTTCTAAAGTGATTCGAGTAGTCGAATTGTGAAATGGGATTTATTCAGAAAAATCGAAGTCAAAAATCTTTTTTGAAGTGAATTTAATGAATAATTTCAATTTAAGGGAAGCGGTACCACAACTGCTGTGGTAATCGGCGACAGTTTTGCATATATAGCATTTTACTATATTATGGAAGGATTCGGTCGAGAACGCCTTGGACATCTGAAACGTTGTGCAAAATATGCATGTATTCCGATTCTTGGTTATGAAACGAACGATAAGCATGCGTGTGAGAAATATATGAAAGGCTGTTTCAAACTTATTAGTGACATAAGACCGGATATTGTTTTCTTAAACTTCCAGTGAGTATCATTTTCCCATTTTAGATAAATTTTTTCATTCATCTTAATTTTATGAGATAAAAAAGGCATAAAAAAAATTCCATTTATCAAATGAGGAAAATCATCTGATAAATTATCAGTTAATCATTTTTTTATTCACAACTGTGGCTGGGAATTAAATAAAGAAAGGCCGTGATGTTCCATTTCACCTTTGCGATCTTTATTATTTCAGTGGATGGTTTTTTATTTGTTTATAGGGTATAATATCTGAAATTGTGCATGAAAATGTTGAAAAGTTGTGAAAATAGCCAAAAACTTCTTATCGCCTTAAAATATATTTCTTGTTTTAAAGGAGCTTTTTGAAAAAATAATGCAACACAAAAACCTCCAATTGAGTTACTTTCTTGACATCTCGGAAGGTGGATAATTGAAATTTAAAAATTAATCCATGGATTCTTTTAATTTATTTTATTTAACAAATTTATTTTTTTTGAGTTTCGGCGAAGCATTTTTATCAAAAATTGACGACATTAGGACTGATAGCATTCGCAAAAAATTACAAACTTCGATCGACCAACTCATGCTTTCAACAAAGCGAATCGTACTTACTTACGACCATCCCCACTCGCTTTCGTATGTCCATTTTATGCAAATTTTATTTTTTTCGAAACATCGTACTTTTTGAATTTCCAAACCTTCTTAAATTTGATTTTCAAGCATTAAATTCATTCATTACGAAAATTTTTTTGCTACGAATTTATCGTAGCAAAAGTGTAATTGTGCTTGAAGTGTATGAACTCTTTTCATTTAATTTTTTTGCCGAAAAAATAGCAAGCAGCCAATCCTTTTTTGCTGCGTTGTATTGCCGGCAACTATTATTATTTTGAGACTTCTTCATTAATAACCTAATAACTTCACATTTGGACAACAGTTTCTTAATTCAATTGATACCATTTGCCTTTCGCCTTTTTCCTTTCTCTCCTCATCATCCTCTATACTCCACCATACAGAAAGTTGGATTCAGAAACGGAAGGAAGGGAGAAGAAAATGTTTCGATTAGAAATTCCTTTTTAATAATATGCAAGAATCGTCCATTTAGGAAAATATAACTTTGACTTAAATATTATATTACAGATATATTACAGATTTGCGATGGATTATATGTCATTATACAGTTTTAGTACGGGAGAAAAATTAGATAAATATATGACAAATTTCCACGAATTTTGGGAGAATCTTCGTTATGGATATGAACGTTTTGATGCTATTAAATGTGCCAAATGTGAACGTTTATTCACCTATCACTGTTTTTGTGACACGAAGGTATTATCTGTGGTGTCATATAAATAAATTAAAGCATAAATTCTTGATTGTTTCAATAAGTGTTTTCCCAAAAATCCAAAATGCCTTCTCTACCTCCTCTTCCTTAAAAAATCTGGTGAACCAGATCTATTATTTTATCTATTATTTTGAATTTGAAGGTTTAAAAATTCAAGTTTTTCGAAAGATTTCTTCGAAAAAGTCTGTTGAAAATTCTTTTAAACATATATACAAAATTTTCTCTAATTTTTTGAAGTTCAAATTTGCTTTATTTATAAAACAATTTAAAATATGCATTAATATCAAAGGGATGCCGACGTTTTACTTGTGCTTCTATCGCCAAGTGGTTTCCCTGGCAAAATTTTTTTGGTCTGGTAAGACGCGTAGTGAGCTTAATTAGCAGTGGTTAATACCATTAAAAAAAAATGCAAAATTATCAGACCATTTTTCACCATTTTCTTAGCCTTTTCATCAAAATAATTTCAGACTTGTTATTCTTTTAATAAAAAAACACGTATGTTGTACTATCGTGATTGGCTTCATTTGAGTACATACGGAATCGACCATATGGTACCTTTTTATAAAAAATTTCTGGATGAAATGTTTGCCAAGCAGTACATATGAAAATTCATTTTATTCTTTATTTGTGAAAATAATTCTATCGATATTTTTAAATTTGAATATTGGAAAAACTTTAAATAAATCGTTGACTTGTTGCTCTGCATATACGATATTATTATTGAGTTTTTATTGGTCCAAATTGGTCACCCATCTAGCTTATAGTTTATTAAACTATATAAGTTTTCGTCTCATTATTGCACCACTGATTCGAAATTTCTTTTATGACTCCGAAAAAAATGAAGGGAAAGTGTGGTGATTGTGCAAAGGTTAACGAGGAATTGAGGAAAAATGTTGCCTTTGAGAATAAGAGAAAGGAAATGCTTTGCAAGCAGAAGAATTCGTTACCTGATTCGCCTAGTCTCCTAATTCGATCTGTTGACTTCTCGACGAGCGCAAAGGATTTAGATGTGAAAATTAGAGGATATGAAAGCAATCTAAAAATGCAGTCTGACAGCACTCGTAGAAAATTTTGGTAAAGTAAATATTTTGAAGAATGAATATTTTGTTTCGCTCGTATTGAAAACGCTCTTGCAGTCCTACTAACAAGAATCTGGCCCGTAAATAATTTGAAGTGGGCAGAAAACTGCGTCAGGAATATTTTCTTAGTAATCAGCGATGCAACTAAAAGAAATTTGTAGAAATTTGGAGATAGATTTACGAATTAACATCAAAATCGCCGTTGCCATTCTAAATATTAGTTAATTAATTAATATTAGCTAATTAGCTAATAAGTGAAGACTCAAATTTATAATTTCATTAATGGTTTGCCACGAAGAGTGAAACCATGACTGCGCCGGCACAAGACTATCGCCTAAGAATTCCGATTAAGTGAGTATCAATCAATCGAAAATAGATTCTCTTCCTTTATATATTTGATATTGTATGGAATTCGAAATAATTGAATAATTGAATTGCTTGGTCTCCATATTTTTCTTGAATTTGATTATAAAAAAAGCTGAATAAAATAACGCTGCCAAAGTTATCCTTAAAGAAAGAGTTAATGATTGCCGGGCATTTGAGGTGACGCTTCATTCATTATTATTCCTATAATTTTGGGAATAATTTTGATACTGATAATTTAATAATTGAATTTACTATCTCCACACGTTTAATTTGCAAGTGCTCTAAGAGATGTTAAATCGTATTAACCTTTCCTGGACGTTCTGATAATAAAATCGGCGTTGCCATTCTAAATATTAGTTGATTAATTAATAATAGCTAATTAGCTAATAAGCGAAGACTCAAATTTATAATTTCGTAATTAAAGGGCAAGGAAATCGCCAATCAATTATTAGGAGACATCCCTAGTATAACGCTGTGACTATTGCGACGAATTATTTCTGAATACGTTCAAGATATTATCCAACATCATTTAGCGTGCTGCTACAGACTGGTAAAGCCAGAAAAGTTTAAGAAATCTTGCTCATTTGTTAGAAGAGTTAAGCGTATATATTATGGAATTCTTTATTTATTCCAGGGAAAGCGAGCAACTGCGCCAAAGCAGGATGCTTAGCCTAATGAAAACATTTTTGCAGTTGAAAATTTCAGTTATTAAAAATTCGAATGAATTAAAATAATAATAAATGTCGGTGTTTTTTATTGCTGAAAATAATAAATATAAAAGGTTTTTCTCATTTTTTCCAATATTCACAGCTGATTCGCAGCGTTGGCATAGATCTTCGTAATATTTGCAACCCACTTCGTTATCTTTATAAATTGCTTCTTTCGCGTACAACTTTCTACGTTTAGAAATATAGCAGTGCCAGTTAAATACACTTTTTTCTTCTTCAAATCTTAACCATTTCTCTTTGGTGTCACATAAGCCTTCGATTTCCAGTCGTTTTTTCCTCTTACTTCTTCAAATGTCTCTTCTGTCGAAGCCCGACGGTAAAGTTTCTATAAACTGAAATGCCAAAAAACAACTGACATTTCTTTTTACACTGAAGCATATATAAAAGCAGTTAGATAATATTGCGACTCTGCAAATCTGTGGTAGCAAAAAGGATTTAAGATGATGTTAATAAAGTCATGCATGTTCTTCGCCCCTGTACATAAGATCAGGAAATATGAATGAGGAAACCAATAGATTTTCAGCGCATAAGTTGTTCAACGAAGCATAGCATAAGCGATAGGAAAAAAATAGTTAATTTTAGGTGCTTCTGTGGGCTCAAGAAATTTTAGAATCTCCCATATTTAATGGTATATTTAACTTTTTTAAAGATATAGCCTGATTAGCCTACTGATGAATTAATAAAAATTGAACATCAAATCAGGGCGTTTTTGAGAGCTATAAATTGTATATAAACTATATAACTGTTGATATCAAAAAAGAATTTTTAAATTTTAAAGATTGTTTGCATAGCTTTTATCAGCATTTAACTTCCATCAAAGCAACGTTTGAGGCCTTACAGACGTTTGAGCGAAGTACCATTACAAATATAAAGTCCAGATTTGAATAAATAAGAAACTGAATTATATGGGACGTGGTGTGAAGAATTTTAGGAATTTAAAAAACATAAAATCAAAAAATAAATGATGAACGATATGAGTGAATTCATTTTTTTCTATACGCACCATTTCTGATTTCTGATTTCCATTAGCTATTGGGATGAGACCACTCATAGATTAGTGGTGATTAATGGCACAGATTGGCATTGCTAAATTGGGAATATTTGCTATGACAGTAACTACGGAGGTTTTTGATTATTTTTTGCGCTTTTTTGGGAGCTTTTGTTTGTTCAAACACCTTTCATATAATTTTTGCACAATAAAATTTATCGCGCTCGTCCAATTAATGAATTATCGTTTTATTAATTCACAACGAATGGTTTCTCCAATCAAATGCAAAACGAAGGATCGTCTAAAAAACGGTTTGCATTCTATCTTTAAAACTGCTCTAATATATTATCAATGAACTTAAAAAAATCATTCGTCATATTTGCCGTTTTTTATACCATATTTTTAAAATTTAATCCATCGCCTAATGTCCGACAACTTTCTGCTGAGTCATATTAAAATGGCTTTTCTGCAAAAGCCAACTTTTTTTTGGTTGATTTTGCAGTTCCTATTTGCTTTCAGATGAAGCAAGCAATAAGGGAAGCAATGCTGCAAATTGCCAAAATATTGCAGCATTAAAGGGTTTGGCTATTATTTATATAATATTTCATCATTTCGAGCAAAAATACTACCAAAATAATATTAATGTGGGTATTGATATATATTTTGTATTATGTGGTTATACAACAATCTCTCATTGCTATTCCAGTAATTCGTCGAATTTAACAAATGTTTTAAAAAATATCGTTGGGAAATTATTCCCGATTTATTATTTTTCGCTATTTATAATATTTCTTGCAAATATTTTATCAAATAGCTTCGTTTACCTAAATTTCAAAAGCCATTTTTTCTCGACAATTTTATTCGCAAACAATATTTATGATTTAATGGCTGACCGTAAAAATGAAACTTTTTCCCCAAAGGTAAGCCGGTTTTTTGTGCATAAAATTAAAATAGCTTTTTTAGATGAAAACAAAGTAGATTTGTAGCTACTAAGGATAAAAAAACCTACTTTTATAATTCTGCTTTATGTGATATGATAAGGAATTAAATAGGGAGAGATGATACTTCTAAGGGATAGTGATGCTAGAAGAGCACTATAAGACCACACAGTAATAATAAAGCACGCGTAAAAATTTGAGGAAATTTGAGAAAAAACACATGGCGATGAAATAAAATGCAGAGGCACCTTTATTATCAACAAGGTTAGCCAGGAAATAATACAAATAAAAACAGACGAAGAGAAAAAATGCGTTAAAAACCGTGTCAGATAAATTTAAGGTGGAATAATTTTCATTTTTTTTATTATAAATATTCGAGAACTGTGGCTACTGTGTTGAAATACACCATTACCATGAAACTTGGCACGTGCATTATTCTTTTTTTGTAATTTCAGATCGAAGACGCTAACTTGTTTCAACATTTGTGGGTAATTTCTACGGAATTCCAAATTTCTTTTCTTTTACCAATTTTATTTAAATTTCGGAAAAAATATGGAGTCAAAATTTACTTATCAGCTATCACTTACTCACTATGGCTATATATTATCTACGAGGATCCATTTTCCTCAAAATTTCCTATATGCCGTTTATGGCAATTTATTTTTGGAGTTCTTATATATGATATAGATATATCACACAATAATAGGAGTAATAATAATGCGCCAATTGATAATATCTCAAAGTTTAAACAGTTATTTGCAGGTTTCAAGCTTTTTTAAACTTTTAGATTTCAAGTTACTGCTTCATATCTATCTTAGCTATTGCATTTGAAATAGCCAATTGCAATAAGTTCGATGTTTAAGGTGTCACCATGGCAAAATTTTTTCATTTAAATGCAATTTTTTCTAGAAAAAACCAAATTTGAATTCCTGCTAAATGGCCTTTTGACAATCTTCAGTCTCCTTGTTATTTCGCCATTATTATTGATAATTCCAATACATTCGAAAATTTACCCAGTCCTTGTCGTGTTGGCTGTGTCTTGGATAATTATTGGACGTTGGCATTGGGGCATTACTCTCTGGTTTTTTCACCATATGCCACTTGCTTTCATAGGAAATATGTTTTATTCATTATATCTGAATCATTGGCCCTATATTATTTTAATGCAATTTACACAAAAGCAGAGAATCTCATATTTCCACGGTTTGGATTAATTTTTTAAATTTTCTAAAAATCATCCATGAAATTTAGCTATTTTCAAGCAGTTTATTATTTATTATTATTATTATTAATTATTATTATTATTAACGATGTTATGCTCTTTCGATCTGGCCGACACTTCATCAGGTCGTAGTGTGTGGTGGAATCAAAAAACGTTGAACGGCTCAGTGCGGCTATTGTTCTATATAAAGAATTTCTAGGAAAACTAGATTATCAAAATCTTATGTCTTAGTAACTAAAATGGCATTTGAATATGATTATTTAGTATTTTGAAAATATGGCATCTAAGCAGGCAATAAACTTTACAAAGCTATTAGTGAAAAACTTTATAATTGGGAATTTTTAAAGGACTTATCGATGCATTGCTGTTCGCATTTGCCTTATCTATATTTGGCTATTATTATATTGAAAGAAATTCTCAGAAAATTCGAAATTTTACTCTTTCAATAATTGTAATTTCGCTTATAATCAGTATATGTATAACTGCTGGAAAATTGGAAGTTCCAAAAATTCCAATTATAACGAACACGTCAACAAGTAACAAATTTTCGAAGACTTTATAAACTCATAGGTTGAAGTTCTTCGTCTTTTCTGTATTTTACTTTAATTCTCTCTCCTTATTTCATCAGTTATTTCAAAAGCGATTTAATGAGGTGTTTATTGTCGATCCATGATTTTTCGCAATTTTTTCTCATTTGAGGCAAAATAGAAAATGGTACTTGTTCAGATTTCCGTCTCAGGTCTGGATCTTTCCTAGGATAAGAGTAAGGATTTCAAAAAATCCGCATATCATATCCGCAAATCTGCATATTCCTATAGTTAAATGATTCTCTAATTTTTCATTATTCTTCTGCGGGGCCAGCTTAACCAAAAATGGGTATTAATCAACTGTTTATTTGCTTTAAATTTACCACTATTAATTTTCAATGAATATTTTCTTTCTTCCCACTAGGTCAGATTTGTCCATAATAAATAAAATATTCTTTTCCCATCGTTCTTACTTTGCAGACGAAATGAACGACTCATTTATGGCGACTTCGAGGGTTAAAGTTAACTCTACAGCAGTATTATCGGTATCAACTACTCCAGTACCGCACGACGGGGCAAAATCGTTTCGCATTTATTTAAGGAACCGCTTGATGATCAAGAGATATTATCCTATAGAACCAAATGATTTACATATCTACGATGATACGTTTTTTGATGGCTTAACCAGCGAACGAAACGTTCCCGTGCATATGGTGTATGTCAATGTAAGCCAAAATTTATCCACTAATGGAAGATGCCACGGTAGCTATCGTATAGATTAGCAATTCAAATAACGCTGCTTAAACAACTCTAACCAGAAGTATTCAGTGCGAGGCACTCCACTTACTTTTTTACTTAATATTTTAGAGGAGATGAGAATTTTAAAAATTATTTGAAGTTCAGTCCATTATTTCTATAGAAATTTGCTACCTGCTGGTTAATATAAGTTAATATATGAAGAGAAGTGCGACAAATATGATTCTTCTTGAGAAGTTCAATCCATTCGATATCTTCCAAGCCCTTTCCCTTTTATTGTAGAAAAGTTCAATTTAAGGGAACCGGTAATACAACAGCTGTGTTGTTTGGTGACAGTTTTGCATACACTGCACTTTATTATATTATCCAAGCCTTTGGGCCGGAACGTCTTGGGCATATTAAACGTTGTGCAAGATATGGATGCACTCCAATTCTCAGTTATTCTGAAGATTCTTCGACTAGTTGCAATATATTAGCAAAAAGTTGTTTGACAGTTATACACCGCATGAAACCAGATATTGTTTTCTTGAACTTTCAGTAAGTATATTTCATTTTTTTTATAAGATTAAGATTATTTAGCTAGCACAAAGATATGCGCATCGTATTTTTCGCATTCTGTTGCAGTCATCAACAATCACCAAAATTCTGTTCTCGTAAAGTTTCCTGCACTCCTTTGCCATATTCAGATTAGTTAGATCTCCTTACATCTCCTTACGACTTTAGGCTCTTAAACATATTGTGATTGATTCTATAGTAAGTTTTCAAAAACGTGCCCTCCGAATTTAATGTTTCTTGAATTTTATCGAGCCGTTCCTTGTTATTGTTTTAGTATCAGGTTGTAATCAACCTTAAACTCTCCCATAATATTATAATGCCTCCAGCTAATTAGCAATGTTAATAAAACAGCACCAAAAGCCTTTTCCTTTTATCTTTTTTTTTATTACTTAAAAATCAGTTAATCAGATGCTGATAAAATGTATACTTATATAATGTATATTTATCAATTTATCACCGGTCAAAGAAGTGCTTGACTTTAAATACCTTGGACCCACTCTAATCCCAAATGGCCAGGCAAAGGATGGAATTATAATTGGAACAACGACAACTAAAAATATGCTTTTCCGGTTAACGAAATTTTTATGGAACTGTCTCGAAATCACCATAAAGACGAAATCTTTCTAATGAGCTCATCAAATACTTCATCGAAATGACTTAACTCTTCGCACCTTTCAAATTTTGAAAATTTACTGTACTTGCCATGACTGCAGACTGCACGTAAAGATAGATTCGTGATGACTGGAAACATCGACAAAATGGGAATTTAGAAATTCCGGTACCGTAGGTTTTAAAGCAGTTAGGGCTCGAAAGATCAAACAGAACAAATAGATTGGGTTTTGAGGAGATATCAAGAAGTATTATTGTAAACCTTGCTCGTCTTAAGGTAAAAGATAGATCTTCTTAAATTTTGCAATATTAAAAATGGAGGAGTGGTTGATGGTTAGAAATTGTTAGAATAAAGTGAATTTGATAGAGAAGAAAAAGGAAAATTTTATTTCGCGGGTGGAATAAAGTGAATTCAGTGGCCAAGAATTCGGTGGCCAAATGTTATTAGAGAAAAATAAGAATTAAAGAAATTATTAGAACAAATTTATCAAAGAAAGGAAAATAAGGAAAAAAGAGAATTTCAAATGATTTACCAACGAATTGAAGTAAAATTTTTTAAAAACTTAGGCATTGTTATAATCCCAAAACCATCTTAATCCTCTTAACACTTTAGTAGGATTTTTTTGCGAAAATCTAAGGCCCAGCACTCACGTCTTTTTAATTTCCCTTAATTTATTACTCTATATTACCTTAACTTGCTACTATAACTAGCTTTATCGTTTTGTTTCAATTAACAAATAGTTTTAAAGAATCTTTAACATTGCTGAGACTGTCAAGCCTTCTTACATTTTGAGGAAAATCTTTTCGACGTCTGCCAGGCTCTGGCGGTCTATGCTTCTACATACTATTTTACCACAACCCATTAGCTGTATTTTTTTTAAAACCCTTTCTAGTGCTTTAATGCTCCTAAACCCGATTAAATGCCCTTCACTTCATTGCCCAAACCACACCTTTGCAATATATGAAATAATAAATAAAAGTCGGAATTGTGATAAGTTGCATCGAAAGGAAAGTGGTATATGTAGAATTTAAAGCATCTGCCAAGAAACGCTTCGGTGTTTGAATGCAGCTTAAGAAAACAAATTAGATTGTAAGGAAATATCAAGCGGTACCCCAAGGTTCTCCAGGCCAGATTTTATTAGTCATTAGTACAATTACATTATTCCAATTGTTCTAATATTTAGATTCGAAGACGCAATTTTATCTAAAATTGAAAATATAACGACTGATAGTATTGTCAAAAAACTTCAAAAAACAATCGACGAACTTATGTTGTCAACGAAAAGAATTGTGCTTACTTACGATCATCCTCATTCGCCTTTGTAGGTGATTTTCAAGTGAAATTTAAAAAAAATTTCTTAAAAATTTTTCAGAAAAAATTGTTCAGAAGAATTTAGCAATGCACACTAACACATTGAGAATATAAGAGCTGCGCCAGCATTTTTTATGAGCTGAATTATTGCAGTTTGGCTATGGCGAATTTAGCCCTAAATAATCTCGTTAAACTAAAATCTATGGACGAATTTAACATACCGTACAACTTGTTTTGGGAGAAACACCGCTATGGATACGAACGACTGGATGCGATTAAATGTGCAAAATGTGAACGTTTATTTACCTACCGTTGGTTCTGTGACACTGAGGTGAGTTGTTGTACAAACAAATTAAGATATTATTAAGATATTAGCAGTTCAGCAGTTATTTTTCAAAACGCCCGAAAATTGTCGTCTCACATGGCTTTGCTAAAGTGTAAATTAATGTATGCGTATTACAATTATGAATACTTAAGAAAACTTTTTCGAAAAAAATAAATTTTTGCGAAAAGGGTAGAATTCATTGAAATTCAAATTTAGTTCTCAATAACTTTTTCATATATTCGACCAATCGTTCAAAATTTTTTAACCAAAAATTTGCTTATTCCCTTAAATTATCGTTTGAACCGCTGATTTCATGGCAAAAAAGGGAAAGCAAACATGAAAATTAGTTTAGATTAGCAAAACTAATTGTGCTATGCTTATCAGAAATCGTAGAAGTGCTAAAAATAGCAATTTCAGATTTGTTATACATTCAACAACAAAACGAAGTTACTGTATTATCGTGATTGTTGTCATTTGGGTTTATATGGAATCGAATATTTGATACCATTTTATAGAAAATTTATCGATGAAATGTATATGAAGCAATATCTATGAAATAAGTATTGGAAAAACCGCCGAATCGTGGCGCTGATTTGAATGGTAACAAAAGCAAAAGCAAAGTCAGCGATATTGATAATGCTGAAAGTTACATCGTTTTCTTCTAGGTGCAGAATGGACTTCGAATATTTATTTCAAAGATCCATTCCTCATTTCTCAATGAATTTTTTTGCCATTCCTTTGATTTATAACGAAAAATAAAGAAAATAGTAATAAAATTTCAAATTTCATCGTTCTTCAAAACAATTTAAAAAGTTTGTTAAATCATTTAACAAGTTGTAACGATTATAGTAAAAATCATATATTAGAGATATAAATTGGAACAATCAGAATATCGTAAAAAATTTCCATATAAAGGTTTCGATTTTAAATTCTACTGAAGTGATGTGTTTAGGCGACTAAAAATAAGAGCAAATTATTACTACTACTGATTCAGTAAGACAGTAAACATAGCAAACATATCTCATGATTTGATCTTTCTTTCTGCTAGAAGCATTAAAAAATTATTCGGATCGCGCTTGGAATTCGTCTCTCTCTCTCTCACCGACTAAATTGCCTAATAGTATTAGGTGCCAGTGGAGTGGAACTGTGGTACTGAAGAGCAAATCATTTCATGGCGAATAAAATGCAAATTTCCATTTAAAATATTGGGATAGAAATATAATAGGAATTATTTTAATGGATCTATTTTTGAACGAATAATTCGAATAGAACCATTCTTTTGCATTTTGTTTAAACACCTTTCGAAAAAAAATTCAAAATTCATAGGACATTAACTTATTTCAGTACGATTACTGCAGTTAACGAGTTTAGGACGAACAGATTCTCTGGTTTCGCGAAAAATGGCAGTTAGCATTGATCATTTAAAGAAAGGTTAACTTATTCCAAATCTCCAATATTTATATATATTGCATTTATTGTCCGTCGAAAAGATTTTGCGCGGCCATTAGTTTTTCAACTAATTTTTCAAAATTGATTCTTCCTCATATAATAAAATTCCTCATATAAAAGTTCGGATCACACTTCAGACCCCCGCACAATAGATCTGCAAATGCGAATATAA